AAGCCACCCTGTTTGATGGCATCCTTAACGACGTCCATTACTCTACATGTGTCCTCTCGGGGTACTCCAGCTTCCTCCCACAGTCCAAAGACATAAGTGGGGCTAGGTGGTTATTAGATTGTAAATTAACCGTAGGTGTGAATAATTGTCTGTCTCTCTGTGACAGCTGTATCCCACTTCTCACCCTGGACAGGTGGGACAGGAAAAAACCCGCTGTGACACTAAACTGGACAACCAGAAGAAAAAATAGGGATCTGTTTTATGTCCAACAGGGATATCTCTAATATATCCCACCTGTCTGCTGCATGAAGTGGGGGAACTGAGGGGATGCAAACATCCCAGCAGAAAATTATTATTTTAAACTGTAAAACATACAAAACACCTTTATTATAGTTTAAAAATAAAAAAGGGAAGCTGAGCATAACAGCTCCAGTTTAAAGACAGATAAAAGGCTCAAAAAGCACCATTAAAAGCTGAAATCTGTTTAACAAATGATGTAAACTCTTTTTTTAAACCAACAAATCTAAAAGCAACACATATTTTGGCTTCATGTATTAACAGTTGTGTTAAACGACTCACTCCGTCAGCAGTTCCACGACTAAAACCTGCACCGCCTTTTCAATTTCAATTTGAAGTAAATATTATTTATAACAATTTCTCCAGTCATCTATTATTATTATTATAGATGTTTTTCATTTCATTTCACATTTAGCTCGACGGTGTTTGTTGCTGTGCGTTCACCTCTTTGTTTTCTGAAGACTCCTGAATAAATCCTCCCAAGTGGGATAATTAAACTTTTATTGGAATGTGCCTGTGAGATGCAGAAATGGAGCTACCATTTTGAACTGTGCGTTAAACTGAAGTTCTTACTTCGCATTTCCCAAAATTGCAGCTTTTGTACTGTCTATGATCAGTGCAAAGACCAGCTTCAGTCCTAATTCAGCCTCCCAAATAAATATGACATGAACAATTCAAAGTGTGACCATCTTTGTGAGTGTTATAAGAGTAAGAAGCTCAGTCCCTGCGTGATGTCTTTAACTTGTTTAAACTGCTTTATTGCTAAAAACGGCTCAGAGGGCCGTTCCTCCTGACCCCTGTGTGTTTGGATTAGCATTAATGCTGCCACTGCTGTTTACACGTTGTGTAACATCACATTGTTCCTTATGATTTGATTAATTCTGATGGGTCCCCCTTTTCATACTTCACAAGCACCAATAAGACGTGTTTGTGTCCTCTGGGCAGTAATCTGCTCAGCAGATATGAGAACCTGGTGAGCCTCATACACCATCTGGGATGTGACTAAATACTTAGTCATATCAGAGGAGATTTTTTTTTCAAGGAGAGGAAGGGGAGACATAGCGAAGAATAAATCCCATTACATCATCCTAGTGAGCAAAACTTGTCTGAAAGAATCAATATTACTGTGACAGGAGCCATAAGGCTTTCATTCCCCAGCCTCGCCTCCATGCCGCACAACTCCACGGGTGTAACCGAGCTAATTGTAATTGTCTTCTGCAATCTGATTTCTGTCTAGATAAAATTGACCTTTAACCCTGTGCTGAACTTGAACAGAAACTTGGGCAACAGCGAAAGCATCACCCTCCGAATACACGATGTGTTAAAATGTTTGGACGTGTGCTGCTTTGCTTTACCCAGACCGCCATTACAAATAAGAATAACATTATTACAATAATAACAGACAAAAAAGGTGAAGAAATTGTTCATCCTTTTTTAATATTCGGCGTACGGTAATATATTCCTCCTCTGAAGCAGCTGTAAGGGTGAGAAATTTATACACAGTCATG